ACCATCTCTGAAATGTGAGATACACCGGCATATAGTTGATACCTCTTTGACTATTTTGACAATCTTTATTTAGGAATGATCAAATTGTAATGTTTGAGTTTTCCAACTTAAGATTCCTGGAAGCTGCTAAAAGACTAAAAAAGGAACCTTCAAGTTGTCTAGTAATTGAAGATTCTATGTAAGTGAATTCAACTTTTACAGTGTGGCTGTCTTTGATCTGTTTGCAACATGAATTTAAATTAAGTTTTGTTTATGATCCATATAAACATGCATAAAAAAGATCTTCAAACACCTGACATTGGGGTGTTGACTATGACAGTCCAGGTGTTACTGCTGGTAAAGCTGCTGGGATGGAAGTAGTTGCTGTACCTTCAATTCCAAAACAAACTCACCTTTATGAATCAGCTGATGATATACTCAACTCTCTGCTTGATTTGCAACCTGAAAAGTGGGGCTTACCTCCATTTAAAGATTGTAAACCTCGAGGACCTCTACCATCTAGCAGTTATTTTGGTTAAATTTTCACTGTGCAATTTTCGTCAGAAATTTTGATTAATGATTGCAGGGATAGAGTGTACTTTGCCAATAGAACCTTGGTATATTGGGGGTCCAGTTGTTAAAGGATTTGGCCGTGGCTCCAAGGTACTTGGGATCCCTACAGGTGAGTGAGAAGTCAGGTTAATTACTTAAGAGTATTTTTCCCCTTTTTCATTGATCATGTAGAAAAGGATTTAAAGACTTCTTTTTTTCACTTTTTGAGCAAACTTTTTATGTTTGTTTGATGTTGGAATTCTGAAATGAAAATCACAATCTATTTAGTTGTTGTAGCTTGCATTGGATCTTTAATTTTAGCTTAAGAGGTAGCTTCCTTTTCTTCTTCTGTTCTCTTTCTTTGGTTTCATTTGGATGGAAATGATGGCATAGCTATCCATGGTAAGGCATATTAGTAGAGCTAAGAAATGCTATCAGATACTTAACCTTTGAAGTTTCTTCTGATTTGTTTTTCTTGAAATAAAATGTGTATATCAGAAGTTGCTTCTGATTTAAACAGAAATTAGTTGGATGGTTAATATGTTGTTATGCATCATCTTTATCTCCTGTTTTGCGGAATAAGTATGTTCCCTATGAATTTTGCTAATGTGTTTATAATGTGGTTCAGCTAATTTATCGACGTCTAATTATGCATCTCTCCTGAGTGAACATGTATCCGGAGTATATTTTGGTTGGGCTGGATTATCATCACGGGGTGTTTTTAAGATGGTTATGAGTATTGGTTGGAATCCATACTTCAACAACACTGAAAAGACTATAGTAAGTTCAGATATTGAATTAGATTGTCTGGTCTCCAAGCTCTTTTTTTTTGCTTCTTACATTTATTTTGTGCGATAGGAGCCATGGCTACTCCATGAATTTGAGGAGGATTTCTATGGCGAGGAGCTAAATCTTGTAATAGTTGGCTATATCCGACCTGAGGTATTACTAATGGTTTTAATTATGAGTTTAAATTTGTATATCATGCTAATCCTTTGCTTAACCAAGTTGTAAGGTATAAATATCAATAAAATTAACTTGTTTTCCAAATGAGGCAGGCTAATTTCCCATCCCTTGAGAGCTTGATAACCAAGATTCACGAGGATAGAAGAATTGCTGAAAGAGCCCTTGATCTGCCATTGTACTCCAAATACAAGGATGATCCATATCTACTGAGATGTTCGGATAGTAATTGTAATCATTTGTGAGATTAGTTTTCGAGTCTTTAGAGACTTTTACCAGACACTCTC